CTGTTGCTGTTGCTGATGAAATGATGAATCAGTTGGTGATGTTCTCTGTTCTGATTGTTGTTGTTGTAATGTTCCATAATATTGTTCGGGTGTGCTCCAGTAGGCACCATTGACTAATGTTTGTGCATCGATTGGTGTTTCATAAGCTATCTGACTAACATTTGTTCCATACATCGGTCGGTATGATCGATATTCATATGACGTTGGTGAGATTGCTGTTTGATAATCTTGTGCAGCGACTGCTGCATAACGTTCAGCTGAATTAGGTGATAATGCTTGATGAGTATAGGTTGAATGGAGTGCTAAAAAGCAAACAAATAAGAAAAGTATTTTAAAACATGCTGAACATGAGTATAAATAGAGACGAATACCATGCGGTAATTGTTGTGAATATGTATGAATTGCATCAACGTCATCCGAATAATAAGCGATATCTGAATAAGCTTGTTGTATTTGTTGCTGAGAGCCAGATGGTAGTCGTAAATTTAGCAAAGACGAATAGGTACCTATAACAATAACAGTTAAACATCAGATAGTGTATTATTTAATAACATTCTTTTAGCTATCAAAATTTGATATATTCAATCTACTTAAAAAGGTCAACGTATGATTGACTAACGTCAACATGCAAATATAAACATATGTTTGGTTATTCAGTAAAATAATGAAAGCATCAAAATCAGTACCTGCTGATAATAAATACTGTTCTTGATGCTGTTGCTGCTGCATATCATGATGTGATAATGGCTGTGGAGTACCTGAATCATTACCATTTCCATTAACGTAGACTTGTTCAATAGACGACGATTGTTGGTTAACATCGTTACTTATACATATCGCAGTATTATTATTGAGTTCAATATCACTTGTTTGTGGCGATGATGAAGCAGTTTGTTGATGCGATGAGGGAGGCGCAGATGAACTATTCGAATCGTCTTCTTCCCCATGACCATTATTCACTAAAATATTGTCATTTTTCGGTGATGCTTGACTTTGTGTACTTTGTTGATGCTGTAAACCGGTTGAATACCAAACAGATGATGAAACGTTTTCCGTATCTACTGTTGAAGATGACATGGATATTAGTTTGAATTGCTAAATAGAAAAAAAACAGATGGATAGAGAACATTGTTAAATTGCGACAGTCACATATTTAGTTATATCCAATAAACTGCTATTAAAAACATGATTAAATTTTTATTTGAAGAAAAGCGTCTATACACTTCCCATTTTTTCTTTATATGGGAGCATAATATTCAAGTCGGTAAAAATGTCATTGGTCACACAGAAAAAATTATAATCAGAGAAAAGAAAAAGAAAAGAAGCAAGAAATACGACTAATACAGAGACTTCATTCAATATTAGCACATTTTTTTGTGCTAATAATAATGAATTTCAATAAGAAAAAGGTGAAAGATATTTGAGTTTACTATAACAAGTTTGAGTATAATAAATTTACGGAAAGAATTTTATTAAATATAGACATCTCTGTTGAATTAACTTGTGTATTAAAACAAGAATAATATCAAAAAACTACATTTTTACGTCCAAAGCACTCATTTATAACGATATCTGCAGCTCAGTCGTTTAGGTACAATATCAACAATGATGCATTCAGCTTTTATTAATATTATGCAAAATATACATACGTACCACCACCGTGCCATCTACTCTTCATTTTTAGTTTAACTGACGTAAATCTTGTTATGGATAAATTTCAGAAATCGAATTTACTATTTAGTTTTTGATATTATTATTCTGTAATGATGCTGTTTTTTCACTTTTTACGTATGTACAATGCCAGAGCTTTTGTTACGAGTATAAATTTGACGTTGTAAGAAAATTTCTTTTGTTTTATTCTCTCATCCATGTACATACGTATTATATATATATATATATTGGCAAAATTTATTATGATAATTACAATGATAAGGTCCACTAGACATTTGATAAGGTTTACATATACCTTATATTCATTTCTACACTCTTTTCCTCTCTTTTTTTTCTCTTTCACTTGTTCGGTTCTAATCTTAATTATGGGCTGAAACAAACTTTGATAAAAATTATCGCCTGTGAGTATGTGAATATTGTTTCGAGAATGAGAGTATTTATATAGTTAGTTATAAAAAAAATCAAAATGAGTAACAATAGAGCGCGTATAGAGAATGTATAGTCGGAAAAAAAAGATACTACTTTTGAAAGCAGATTGTAACATAATATTTCCATGTACAGTTGTACGAACTACAGTATAATCGACAATTAGGTAAGTCACGTTCACTCAAAGATCCTCTATTATCGACAGTTAACTAACATATCACAATTAACGAATTTTATAAAGAGCACATAATCATCACAAACTATTAGATTGATCTAGTTTTACATTTAAACAAGTTAGCATCTATGCTCTGTCTCAACTATGTCCTGAACTATACCCCTCAACTACCCATTTGAACGATACTCTAAATTTTTTCTCTAATAGTACGAAATCGAGTATCCTATGGAGAAGTATCATTTTTTCTTAGAAAACTTAAACACTTCTCCACATCGTATATGATTACTCTGTTAAACGGGATGAACTTATCCAATATTATTTTAGTACACCATTAAAGACATAAAATTGGTAAGAGTCGCTTTAATTCAAGATAAGCAGAAGTATAACTTTTACTTGCCGTTTCGTACTACTAGCCGCCATGAATGTGTTAAAAATATAGAGTAGCAGAGTCAGATCATTTTTCATTTTTATTAAGAGTAAATATAAATTTGTTTGCTACAGTCTTTAATTGATGTACGTCATATCAAATACACATACAATCTTATCTAAATTATATTGAACTACATTAGACGTACATAGAGACTAAATGAAAAGTCTCATCATTTCTGTTCTCATCGATTCATTCACTTCTATATAAATATAGAAACAAAGCTAAAATGCATTTTTTTTTGCTACACAGTTTGTTCAATTGCAGGTCGTCTTCATCCAATGGAACAAAAGAAAGTTTATGAACAATCTTAAATTCGAGAGCTAGCTCTAAATCCATGTTCAATATAAGTCTATAAGAAGATGAAACGTAGTCACCGTTTGTAATTGGAGTCTCCCACCAGATGACGTAAAATTAATAATTCTAGCAATTTGGAGTCAAAAGATGGAGCTGATCTTTCCCGTCTATTATTCTTTCTACTCTTAAACATGAACGAAATATTATCCTAACTTGTATAACAAAAATATAATAACTTTAATATTCTGCAGATTATAAATTATAATCATCTGTAAGTATGTGTATCAATTATTATTGTTTTAGTTTATTATTTTTTCAATTAAAGACTGTCATTACATCTTTATTATATCTTCTTGGATTAGACTAGTATAAATCAAGATAAATGGATATAAAAAAAGAGCAATCGACTAAAACGTGTTATCTCTAAATAGTAATTGAAAACAATAACACAATCGTTGTTTTTACTGTTACCTGTTCGTGTTCTTCTTCTCTTTTCTCTTGCTGCTGCTGTTGCTACTATCTTGAATATTGTTAAAAAATGATAATAGGTTTTTTATTCATATACTATTCACTCACTCACTCACTAAGTATTATTATTATTATTATTATACGATGTTCGTCATCATCACATACACACGATTTTCTTTTGTTACTTCTCAAATGTCAGCTTACGTATGTAGAAATAACTTTTCTTCTTCTTCTTCTTCTTCTCCTTCTTCTTCTTCTTTTTGTTTAGTGATGAAAAATGCAATTGGTTAAAATATTTAAGTTGTGAGTGAAAATGGTTCAAACAAATTTTTTCTTCTTTTCTAGTTTTCTTTTTTTTTCTTCTTCTTCTTTCGATATGAGTGCGTCCCGTGTTTTACCACATAATTGTTTATTATGACTGGATGTGCTTTTAGAGGTTTGGATTTTTTTAAAATATTTCTTCTTCTTTTCATTCTTTAATATACACAAGAACAAATAATGAAAACGCTTGTTATAGGAACACACATACAGAGCCAATATTTGTTCAACATTATTACTATTCTAGTAAAAAACAATATTCTTAAAATAGTCAAGTTTTGACGTCAGAAGACCATTAGTTTAGTTAAGTAAAGTTTTCAACATGTCCAATAACTCTGAAATTTCTCCAACTGACAACAAATGATAGTATTGTCTTAGTACTAAAGCACGAGACAGTGTGAAAGATTTATGATTAATAAGGAATGATTTATATTAACTTGTCATCAAAAGTAGAGTTCTGAAAAAATGAATTGTTAGAGTGAATGATACATCCTATAGACTATAGTCTTTTGATGATGAGTAAAGAAATTGAGTATATAATTGAACTATGTTTAAGATCTCCTATTTTAGTAGTTGACTTTTATGGTAAAAGTCAAGCTTTCCAATATTATGTATTAATTCTAGTTATTCTTATGAAAAAGTGTCAGCTTATATAAAACTTCACTTCACCAACAATTTGTTAGTAATTACTATGTAAGAACAAAAGTATCTAATTTAATTAATTTTTTTTATTGTATTTCATGTTTATTCTTGCGTATTATATGTAACGGTGTTGCTGTTGTCTGTTATACAGTTAAAAAACAGTAAGTAGATCAAAAATATCTTTTATTTCTAAAATGGCAGACAGGTGTATGTATAGAAGAGAATCGAAAAGATTTAATGAAACTAAATACGCACAACAAGAGAGAGAGAGTCAACAACACCCACAACGATTGACTGTGACTGATGATGATTCGAGTTTTTTATGGTTTAATGACAATGAAAATTACATTCTTTTTCTTTTTTTTTATGTTTCAACTAGTATAGAGAGAGAGAGGAAGAGATTGAAAATGAGACTAGGTGAGAAATAAATAAATAAAGGATCAAATATTTGAAACTCAACAGTGTTGATTGTTAATATTAGCTACATACTACAAACAAAGAGAGAGCTTATTAACAATTGTCTATTGAAGTTTGAAACCGTATTAGAACCGATTCGTTCCACAAATATCAAATCACTTGCATCTCACTTATAAATATCTTTTCGTCTTAATTTCTCACCTAAATAAGATTAGTTTTTCGAGTCTCGACTAATATCTTACAATATAGTAGAATAGATTTGGATACACTCGACGATTAACATGTTAAAAAGTCGGAATTTTTATGCCATCAAAATGAGCTTTTCTAATCAATAAATGAATATCAATGTACAATTCAAAAAATCGACTAGTGTACGATGACACAGCTATTCACAGGTGGTCAACAGATATCTTTTATCTATTTTTTTACTATATTTTTAGTAAAACTTTTGATAGTATATTTCTAAATTTTCTAGACACATTTGTGACCAAACATTATTCAGAAGCACGACTTTAGATTCTTTAAAAAGAACGATTTACATTTTTCGGAGCGCAAAAGTTCTTATAGAAGAAAAGAATACGAATCATCAAAGAGAGAACATTTTAAATTTTTCGTTGATCATGACAACAAACAGCATCTTTTTTCTTACTATATAACGTTTATTTTAAAAATAGATAATCTTTAGAGTAACAATTTCATACACAAACTATGAAGTGTGTCAAATTTTAATCTGTAGACCAATTTTTGTTCACCAGTATTACAACAGTTTTTCAGAAGATTATTGAAGACCGTAATAATTAAGGATGTATTTTGATTAATAACAGTAGAAATTTTACTATCACCACGTTATTTCGACTACTAATAGTTTAATATGTGTAAAATGAAAAATCATGCAGTCTGTTTACAAAACAGTAGTGGTCAATGAGAAATTTTTTCTCTTCGCTTGATCCATGCGATTTTCTACTATAAAACAAACTTTTTTCATAGAAAAATGCAAGCATTGATTAGTTATATTTTAAAAAATAAAATCTCAAATTTTGAATTAACTACGTTAAACTCCCGAGAGGGATGTTGTTTAAATGTCAATAAAAATAATCAACTATTAGTTACAATTCAAATACGGTTAATATTTTCTACTGCTTGTTATTTAGTACACTATTGAATGTTTTACTGTCAAATCTGATCAATCTTTGACACTGATTAGAAGACGCTTTTAAAAGCATGTGATCTCCGTTCAATCATCAAGAGTGACCTGGAATATTTTCACTAGGCGATAAAAAAAACCTTCATTTTTTCTTTCTCATTCTCAAGCATCTTCAAGTGTGTAAATGAAAAAAAAAAAAAAAAGAAGAAATCGTTGATAAATCGTATTATCAGTATAAGCAAATAAAAGTTGAAAATATACATACCGGTAACCAAAGAAATGAAGAAGAGTTAGAGAATATTATTATTAACTACGCATACACATTGAAAGGCAAATATTTCATTTCTATATAGAGAGTGGAAAAAAATATATAAAATAAATTTTAGTATATATGTCTGTGTGTACTTGAGAATGAGTAAATAGAAAAAGAAGAAGAGAGAAACTAAAAATTTTCTTCGACCTTGATATACGAGCTACATCAGATGAAAAATATGTGATTGTTGTCCTGTCTGTAACAATAAAAAAATTTTCCAAATTGCGCACATCAGTTAAAACATTAATCATCTCAAAATTTTTTAAACCACTTCTCCATAGTAGTAGCAACATTCGTCAATTTCTCTAAATACGGATGAGATTGACGAGAGCAATATTCTCTTTTCTCTTTAGTAAAATCATCCAAACT